AAGGAACAGGATATTTCTAGAACGACGTGGCGTGATACTAGTCACGTGACCTCGCTGACGCAACAATATGTAAAGAAAGATAATTATTGTATTTCACGAGATGTGTGTTCTCCAGACTTCATCGCAATAATGTTTTCTACATTACAAAAGTGATCATTTCATGCCTATTTATTTATTGAATTAAAAAAACGATTATTGTCATGCTAATATTCTAAAAATTGAGATATTAAAGTTGCAACTCATACTAGATAATACAGATACTAAATCGTACATTTTTACGGCTTGTGTGAAGTAAATTTTCATGAAATAAGAGAAGTAATTCAATTATCCATAATTTTATCAGCTCGTTTTGTGAAAAATAATCCGCTTTGAAACATTTAAAAGACAGTCATATTAAATAATGCTTCAGACTTCGGGTTCTTTGTGGTTAGTGTCTTTGAATCGTCTGCTTCAAACGAGATAGATTGCAAAGATAATTGGACGCCCAGGATTTTGATGTTTGTTTTAGAACACAGTCTAAGCACGGTGATTCCAGACACAGACCAGACAGCTGAAATGTACGTCTGCGCACAGTGTCTACGCAAATAGGAACGATGGCGATGGACAATCTGTGGATGTGAGACTGAGAAAATGTTTGAGTAGATGAAAACAATATATCGCGTTCATGAGTGAACCAAGGCTTTTCGCGTTCTCGAGCAAATCAACAAATCTCTTGAGGAGTCGAGAGTTTGCTCGAGATGCTATTTTGTCTTGGTTTATTCGGTAAGCCCCGTTTTATTAATTATTATATAAGGGTAACGCCTCGTTTCAAATACGTTTCTGACATTAGGGTTAGTTTTACTTTATGGTGACGTGGTGTGAGATAGAACTGTACCGGGACTGCCTGCCGCTTGTTTGGTACCAGCACTCCACACAAATACTTGTTGAAGTAGGCTGGTCTAGACCATAGTTTAACTTTAAGTGCGAATTCATTATTACTTTTTCAATGTTATTTTATGTATAACAAGAATAGTGTTAACATGGATGCATTCTTTAATTATAAATACTATCAGCCAATGTTGTTGTATACATTTATTATATAATTGCGTTTGTATTTTTTCTTTAGAATTTAAGGTAATTTTAATCATAAACTATAAAGTAACAAATCAGTTACGTGCTAGCAATATCTTTGATCTTAGTGTTAGTCACGATTCAAGCACGCATATGTAGGGTTAGACTAAATATTTAGCATTTCCGTTAATGTTTAATACGGCAAACAGTAGGAATTACATTTACAATTTACATAAAACTTGCAGCTGTCGTTAAGCAGATTAAACACACTGAAAACTGAAGTGAAGGACCAAATATCCCTTTTGTGCATATGTTATGTTAGTATTCAACTTAAATTTAAAAAATCAAGTAATACTAATACCCACGAATACTGATGTTACTCAAGTAATACTAATAGTTAATTGTATAGTAAATAATTAACTATTAGTATTACCTGAGTAATATTACTTTCTAGCCTTTTGATCTAAACCTTAAGTATAATAAGCATTAATAAATTTATATCATTATATATATTCTTCACATTATAAGGAGGTAGTATATATATGTCAACAACATTTAAGTTAAAAAGTACCTCATTTAATTACATGTAGTTGAAGAATGTAGTGAAAATTTGAACATTGCACTAGTATAAGAAAATATGGTTCTTATTATCAGCTGGTGTCTGCTTTGTTTTTTTTATATATACAGATATTCTAAATAGATTTAGTTGCAAAGGAAAATAATAAAGTTAACAAAGACAATGATTAATGAAGATTTTCAATGATTGTGAATGTTGCATTCTGAGCTTTATTTGTATAGGAGTAGTCCATAGTATTTATTGTCTTAGCCACGCTGTTAAAAATACATGAGAAATGAACTTGCTTGGGAGACACTTCATTTTTTTTTACTCATTTCAATATTTCTAACCTAAAATTTTTATATTACTGTGGTATTTGTTATAAATACATAGCTTTCATTTTATTTTGACAGAATTGAATATACTTTTAACACTGGTTTCTCTAATTGAAATTGTAGAAAAGTGTTTTTGAGGTTTACTGTTTTGTCAGTTGCTATAGTATTTAGTCTTAGAATAGGAAATAAAAAAGTTATGATTAATAATTTTCAAAGGATGTGCACAAAGCCTGTGAGCATTTCTGTGTGTAATATGCAAAAGAAATTCATTCTGTATGTTTCATGTTTTCAGCATAACGTTTTGAGGAAGAGTTTTTAGTTACAGAACTACTGTGTTATTGCATACTGTTGTTACTAGTTTAATATTGCTATAATAGCATGTGATTATATAGGCTGGTTTTAGCTATATTTCTAGGGGGTGATTGTAAAGTGTCAACCTTGAAAGAGTAAATTGAATTTCATGGACTACTAGTGCATAGCTCTGACACTATTAGCTGAATAGTTAGCTAAATATTAATCTAAAGGGGAAACCTCCCCTTAATATTTCCATAAAATGCTGTACATAGTCATTGTTTCATGTATAAAAAATTCTTATTCATTCAAAGAAATATTTTATAATGTTCACAAAATTAAATTTTTCATATCTTTATTTAAGTTTTGTTGTTTAAATTTTTATGTAATGCAAGGGAATTGAAAATTAAGTCATCTGACTGACTAAAGACAGATAAAACATTATGTCAATCACAAAACTTAACAAGACTTGAATATCAACAAAACAAAAAAAAAGACTTTAAAATCCTAGCTCTGGTCTTCCATTAAGGCAAAAATTACTTTTCTCATAAGAGAAAGTTTGACAAGAACCCTCACATAATGATTACCCAGATTTTTTTTAAGGATTTGTGACATTCATTTTAGGTTGGGTGGGTGATTAAGTGGGGACTTCAAGTGATACAGTTGTTTTTCTACCAGCAACTGTTGTAAGTTAAGGGCCAAACTAATTGGTTTTGCAAAGGTGGGAATAATGAAATGCAAAAATGAAAAATGTATCATGCAATATGAGGGAGAAATTATTTTTATTCTAAACAACTAAATTCTGTCTTTTTACATTTTGGACATTCACATAAGATTATGTTTAATATAACCAATAGAAGTATCAAAGAGATATTCTGGCTAATACAGAAGGGAAGTTACTTTTTCCATTAAGTTATAATTTCATATTCTTGAGCAATATCTTTTATAGAAACAAATGTGATGCTGGAATTTCCATAAAAAACTAAAATCTTGGAATAAGTGGGAATCACAATTTAATTGTGGTAGCCAGCTTTTAACTTTTAATGTGTGATTATAATATGAATGTAATAGATAATGAGAAACAACTGTAGCTATAATTTCAAGTTTAAAGCTAGAATTAATCAGTTAATATTTAGAGAAGGTTGCAAAGAGTCTGCTGATAACTGGGTGTGGTATAGTTATTCAAAACGTCCTAAATATTAATATAATTAGTATGTCACAAAAAGTTAAGTGATAGAAAATAACATCAGTATAACATATGTTCACAAGGGACCATTTGGTCATTCAAAACATAAAACCATCCTTTATTTTTCAGGAAATTATTGTTCCCTTCCCACACACACACACTTAAATTCCTGTAAGATGCTAGCTTCGACTACTGCTGATGGTAACTCATTTCATAAGCTAATCATCATGTTAGAAAAATAAAGCTGTCTTAACTGGAGTAGGACCTTGTCTTTTCTAAATCTTAAATGTTTATCCTCTTGTCCTGTTGAATTCTGGATACAGCACAATTAAATCACAGGCTTTTATACTGTCAGACCCCCAGATGATTTTGTAAGTTTCAGTAAGTTCACTTGATAAAATATTGAGTTGATCCACCATTTCTTTGGGAAGAAGGGCTGGGATGTTACCTGTTAGTGTCACTCAGGAAACCCCACTATGTTACAAATTTAGTTACTCCTGGTGGTTAGGCCCAGTCAGATGGATCATGGGTTTGTCTCAGCCACAATACACACTCATCCTCAGCTATTTACTTGTGACCAATCTGCCATTCCTTCCACCTTTGTGACACATTAACACCCAGGAAAAGATTCTAATGGCAATATTTTATGCTCTACCATCTCTATCGGGTGATGAGTATTTCTTGCTTGAGATGGATGTGGTCTTGTACTGAATTACTGCCTAGGTTACCCCTTGTCTTGTGGATGTCACACTCTATGGACTCTTCCTTTCTCATGTTGTTGTCAGAAAAAAGCTCTTTATATTTATACCTTTATATTTACTTTGTACCGATCCTTTTACCACATTCATTGTTGTATTAAAGCCCTTTATGGTGCAGAGTGCTCATTTGTTTATTACTGTGCTTGGTGGATGTGTCACTTTTCTACTGGTAAAAGGTTATAGTCTGATGTTGACACCTGTAAGGGTGTGAGCTTGTTTAGGGTTGTGGAACACTCAGGAAATTATATGCTGTGCTTGCAAGGTAGCAGCTATTTCTGGTGTAGAGAGGTGAGTATCTATCTGAAATATATCTTTAAGTATGGAAAATGTTAACATTCCAAGTGAGGCTTAACTACTTTTTTTTTATAGTGATATGATTACCTCTTTTGACTTATAATCAATATGTCCATAAATATGCCTTAAAATTCCATTACTTTACTATCAGCAACAGAGTGCTACTTTTGTACCTTCAGTGACTTATCCACCATTATGCCAAGATTCTATTCCTCATGCTGTTAACAAAGCATAAAATTTAAGAGTAAAAAAGGCACCTGTTGTTCCATGTAGGCTGTCCCATCTACTAAACTAAACTTAAAGAAAAACTCAAAGCCCTTAAGCACTCTTACATCCACCACATCTGAAAGTAACTCATTCAAGAAGCAAACAACTCTGTTAGAAAAATAAAACTATCATAGCTGAAGTTGATTCCTACCCTGCCAAAATCTGTATTTGTGTCCCATAGTCCTGCCCTTTTCACCTTCAAGTATGAGAAAAGATGATACATTGACACTATCAATTACCTTAACAACCTTAAACACCTCAATTAGATCCCCTCTAACTCTTGTTGTTTTCAAGAGAAAACTATTCCTTGTATGACAATCTTTCCATCTCAAGTATTATCCAAGTAACCCTCTTCTGAACCCTTTCCAACAATTCAATGTCTTTCTTAAGATATGGATCTCAAGACAGTACTCCAAATTTGACTTAACCAGTGACTTGTACAATACAATTATGACCTCTTTAAATTTGTATTCAATATTTCTGTAGATACAACCTAAAAACTTATTTGCTCTACCACTTAGCAATAGTACACTGCCTGGATTGACTTAAGACACTGATCAACCTTATCACTGTTAAGGTTATTCCCATCATAATCAGAATTTAAATTATGGTAACCCACATGCATTACTTTGCATTTATTATGATAAAAGCCAAACTCACTATATAATCCCAAACCGTTTGTAAAGCAGCAGCATGCTCATAGCCAGCAACACCTAAGAACGTAATATCATCAGCAATCTTAAGTAATTTATTGACCATTCCTTCATCTATGCCACTGATGTAAATAAAAAAAAGAGCAGAGATCCTAATACTGAGCCTTGAGCTGCTCCCATTGTGACATTAATCCCGTTTGATTGAATTCCATTTATAACAACCCTCTGCTTTCTTCCATCCAGCCACATTTCTATCCAATTAGCCAACTTATCCCCCACACCTATAGAGATAATTTTTTTAACAAGTGTTTTGTGTGGCATCTTGTTGAATGGTTTCTGAAAATCCAGATACACTAAATCCACACCATTACCCTCATCTTACATAAGCAATTATCTCTTCAAAGAATCCCAAAAGTTGAATAAACGAATATGTTTTGGCCCCCCAGTGGCACAGCGGTATGTCTGCGGACTTACAACGCTAGAATCTGAGTTTTGATACCCATGGTGGGCAGAGCACAGATAGCCCATTGTGTAGCTTTGTGCTTAATTACAAATAAACAAAGATGTTTCCCTAGTGAAACTATGTTGAATATCCAACAAAATTTTCAACTTTGTTAAGCAACTTTGCAAAGCATCTTTTATCAGACTCTTAAAAAAGTTTCTTACCATTGATGTAAGACTAATAGGTGTATAGTTATTGGGACAGTTTTTGTCACGTCTCTTTAATAAAGGAATAACATTAGCCATCTTTCAGTCTTCATGCACCTGCACACAAAAAAAATAGTAGTAAGTGGCTCATACATTCAGTCCTTAACCTTCTTCAAAACACAACGGGAAATACTTTCTGGCCCAGGAGCCTTATCATTTTTGAAACTTCCAAATTTATTCTTAACAAGCTCATAATTAGTGTGACCATTTTGTTGTATCTTGTTTTCATTGAATGGGTTTCAATCTGTATTAAATGTGATTCAAATTATGATTATTCAAATACACTTATTATTATTAAAGGTCATTTGCCAACTATATGTCCAACTTACCAATTGCTTCAAGTCATTCTAAAAGTATCACAGCATCATTATAGCTAGAATTTAATGTCATCAGCAAATTTTAGTAGTGAAGTCCCTATTAGTGTCATAAGTGTAATATAACAAAAAAACAAAGGCATAAGCATGACCCCTGAAGCACACCAATAGGAATAAAGATCCAGTTTGATAACAACTTCTTACTTTTTCTCATTCAGCCACACTAACAAGTCTTTCCTCAGTCCACACTAGTGTAATTTTCTTAGCAAACCTTATGTGTGGCACTTTATCAAAAGCCTCTTGAAAATCTTAAGTACACCAAGTCCACACACTTTCCATTATCCACATACAGAGCAACATCCTCAAAATAAAAAATTAAACCACAGATTAGTAGTGAAAGATTTCTTGTAGTGAATCCATGCTTTCTCTCTTTTATGATATCATATTTCTCACCAAGCAATATTGCAAGGCTTTTTTTTTTATCAGACTTTCTAGGATTTTGCCTATTATAAAATGAAAACTAACTGACCTGTAATTTCCAGGGCAATTCTTATCATACTCTTTAAAAAGGAGTAACATGAGCAATTTGCCAATCCTCAATCGAGCACTTGTCCACCTTCTGTTGACCTCTACTTCATTAATGGAAATAAGAAAAACAAAACCTAAGCACTGGCATGTAAGGAATACCACTAAATTACTGAAGTAAAAGTTTCACAGTTGTCCAGTTTTGGCATTTTATTTATTTATTTATTGGTCAACTGTTAGCTTTATTTAATAGATAGTTTTCACTGGTTTTAAGCATGTGTATAAACTAAAGTGTTTTGTTTTGTGACAGAGATTGTCCAGTGAAAATGGTATCATATGCATTTACAACTTATAATAATACAGTGTATGCTAACTATATCTATTAATCTGTTTACTCCCTGGATGTACTTATAGGGCTACAAGTTTTTGTTTGGAATATTCATGTCCACTGTGGATAGGTATTTGTTGGCAGTAACACCTGGGACAAAAAAGATTAATTGTAAAAGAAAAGCATGTTTATGGCTATGCAAAGAAGGCATTTTATTTTATTTTTCTATGTGTGGAGGTCCAAAAGAGCTTAGGTCATATTTCTGTGACTGCATCCTTACTTTCTTTCTTTTTTTTTTCTTATATTTGTTTTGGACCATTTTAGGTCCTTGAATATGATAGCTCATCACCCCTTCATCTTTGAACGGTATGTTCAAAGGATTTTTGTTTATCATGCGGCTTTTCATTCAGTATAATGGGTAAGACTGTTTTTGTCCATTGGTAGCTTGTTTTTTAATCCTTCTTGGTTGAAATAATTTATTTTGTTGTTTTACTCTTTGGAATTCCATAGCATCATTTTCAAGTCTTCGGTTAAGTCTTTTAGATACAATATTCTCTGAGGGCTTCAACTCATTAGTTGACAACTCACCAGCTCCTTGTATTCCATCAATCTTGAAACCTTTGTTTCTACAAGTAATTAAGTTTAGTATTGCTACTTTATGCTGTAACTCAGGGTTCCTAGTCATGAATTCCTTTAATTGTTTATAATATAACCTTGAAAAGGGTTGGTTGTCCAACACTCTTTCATTCATATTATGTTCACTTTAGTTGTTTTTTTTTTTACTTTCCTTGATCACATTCTTTTGTGATAGTATACAGTTCTGCATCTAGTATCACTGTCTTTTTTTAGCTCTTTATGATTTGCTGACTGTGAACATCAGTTCTTCTTTTTTGTTGTTGTTTCCAAGGTCTGGACCACACATTTGATTAGTTTTTCTTTTTCCTGATCTTTTTTTTTTCATTTGGATTCTAATGATCCTAGAAATTGTTTTATGCCTTTTATATGTGACCTTTTCTAATTTATCAGTTGCTAACTTATTCAATTCCTAATATGATCTTGAGACTCTAATGTTAGCTTTTTTCATAACTTTGAATACCCAGTTTGTGTTTTAAGTTTCTCTTAAGAATTATATATCTGTGACTCCCATCTTAAGGTTAATCAGATATTTCTATCATTCACATTTCTCAAACTTTGTTTGCAAAGGATTATTTATGACTGTACCTTAGCTTTAAACCAGATTGTAGTTAACAGCCACACAAAGAACATCTTCTAAGGGAATTTTTAAACAAAAAATTTGTTCACAACTAAATCCAAAACATAAAAGAGAATATTGAAATGCAAGTAGTTATTATTTCTATCAAGAACAAGTAAGTTTAAAACAGCATGAACATTTACACGAAGAGCATCTAGAGAATTCCAAAACAAGTGATTTACAACCACATCCAAAGCATTCTTTGATATACTTTGTATGTTATTGTGGGAAAAGAAGCAAAACTATGGGCAGTATAGTAAAATAATGGAGAGACAGAGGGCAGTATCATTAATCATTCTTGTATTTCAACTTGATTTAGTCAAAAAAATTGTTCCCTTAATAATGATTATTTGTTAATTTTAAAAAAATGCTATTCAAAATGTCAACTAGTAAATACAACTTTTGAATAAAATCATGCTTTGCAATAGATTTTGAAATTATAATGTAAGTGTAAAACTTAAGAACTTATAATTAAAATGCTTTGACTTAGTTTATTGAATTTTCAGAAATCTAGTGCATTTCACTTAACATTTGAGTGATCCTGATGATGATTAAGTCAGAATAGTTGTAATTGAACTCAAAGCATTTCAGAACTTATTGGAAGTTTCACATCTTTGATCAGTTATGTTTTTTATGCTGTGGTCTTTGGTTATTAAATGATACACCACAATGACTAGAACATGTAGTCATAATGTCAGTAGTAAAAACTAAGAAATATGTTCTTTAGCACAAGTATATATGTATATGTGTTTACATGCTGAAACATTATTCCTTTTTTTTTCTGTCATGGTTTGCCTTTATACCAATTATCATGGGCAGGGAGAGGGAGGATTGCTAAATCCGTGACTACCCTGGGTAGTTAATTAATCAATTAATTAGTTGTCCCCAAATACCTACAAACTTAGGGATTAGTACAAGATGGAATATTTTGAAAACTGACCAATCTTATAAGTTTTATGCAATTTAAAAAAAATTTTTGCATGTTTATATTTCCTCTGCAATTTTTTTTTTTTATAAGTGAGAAAGAAACTTTTACTATTCTTTAGCAGTCTTTGGTTAAATTCAAGTTGAATGATAAGTTGGAGACATTATCATTTCAGTATTCAGTGATGTACAGACCAATATTTCAGTTTTTTAGATTTAACAATGCCATTTTAATGAAAACTTTTATTCAGACAAAATCATTTTCACATGTCAGAATCTAATCTTTATACTCTCACCAATGGTGCCGATAGAGAATAGAAGGCATGCATAGCTTAGCACAGTATTACAGTAACACTTCTTCATGTGTATTGCTAATTGTTTATACCAATGACTTTCAGATACCTAAACAAATCTGCTAAATACCTTTCTTATTTTTAGTCTGTTAAAATATGTGAATAAATTCTAACTAAGTTAACATTCTTGCTTACACCAAAATACCTGTGATATGAATGATATTTAGAAACTTGTTTACTGGCAGGAGTTAATTTTTGATGTTTTGAATGATTTTGAATACATGTGTTTTTAATAAAATTGTGTAATGGTAATTTTAGGCATGTTAAATATGGTATTTTTTTTCCAGCTATACTTGTGTATGAGACAGTATTTGCAAGTGGTAAGTACTGTTCTGAATATTACTGTGTTTATTATTTCTTGTCAGACAATTTAATTAGATAAAGTCAATTCTTATAGTGAACTTAATATTAAAAGATATAATAATAAATAAATAAACTTTCATAGTTTTAGGTCTTAGTACTTACAGTATTAATACCGTATAATATTGTGTTTTTTTTAAATTAATAATGAATTGTGATAAATTTGTCATCATTTGATACTTATGAAGTAATAGACTTTTAAACTTAAAGCTAATAGTAAGAGAAAATAATTAAATTCTCATAAGATACGACATTCAGTAGAATCAATTTGGTAATGTAGTGCTTATTTATATACAATGAAAATTTATGCTTATTATTATTAAACGTAGAAACCTAGATATGTACATATAACCTGCAATTATTTGCATATTATCACCAGAACTGGCTGTAATAATCTCACCTATTAGTAAGTTTCATATTACATATCATGCTTATTATCAGTAGAATATGCTGTCTGGACAAACATCCTGTATATGATATACTAAACTTCCTATCACATTTATTGTTTACTTGCAACAATTAAAGGTCCAGATAAACATTCCATATTCTTGTTTAAGTTCATAAAGATAATTATCGAGGTATTTGCATGTTTATCCCAATGAACTTCTCATCACTCCATGTTTATTATTAACTTACCCAACTTCCTAAAAAAAAGTTTTGCAAATGCAAGTAATTTTCTTATTAATGTTTGTTTATCATTGACTGACTTAACTGCATCTATAAATGCCCTGATAATCTTCCTCTCACTGTTTTTATTATTGATTAACACTTTAGGTAAATGCATTGTAAAGGTCTTGATAATCTTCTTATTAATACTTGGTTATTAACTATATCCTGTAAACGTACTGAAAACCTTCTTGTCAATTATTTTTTCATAAGTGAATAACATTCTATTTAAACTTCATATAAATATCTTGTGTAGATGAATGTTGTGTGAATGTCTTGATGATCTTTTCAATCAATTCTTACTTATTATGACTGATGCCTCTAAGTATCTCCATAAATCTTAGAAGTGTTAATAGTGAAAAACAAAAATGATGTTTATTGGCACAATCAAAGATTTTTTTATTAACAAATTTTCAGTCAATTAGTTTCAGTAATACAGTTATTATAATCGCTCTTAGTATAGTAGCACAATGTGCCTGAAAATAAATTATAAAAATCTTAGAAGTTTTTGCCTGTTATTGACTGACTTTAGCTTCTAAATGACTGCCCTATCAAAAATCTCATGAACTGTATTTAATATTGTCAAGTAACCTGTCTTTGACCTGACGACTTTCTTATTATTATTTCTGTTAGACTTAAGTGTCAAGACAAGTCATACGTTTGTCTGAATCGGTGCAAAGTATCCAATTTATATTGTCCTTAACATTTTACCATTGTTCTTAAAATAATGGTATTTGTTTCTGTACAGATTGTCATCTGAATTTCTTGAGTAATATGTCTTTCAGGAGTTTTAAAGTTAATTAAAGTTTTGTTCTGTATTTATTTTACAGTACTGTCTGTTGCACATTTAACTAAATATGGTTTTGGTAATTATATTTCAAAACTGCTTATGATGGCTCATATATGATTGCATAACATTATGATATCCACATGTAGGGTCAGACTAATGAACAATGTAAACAAGCTATAGCTTGTTCCTCCCACAAAAAAAGTAGGAGCCTTCCAAAATGTCGTGAGAAACTTTTATAGTAGTCAATGTTCCTAATTCGTAATTTCCATTCTCTTAACTTTCTCGTGAGTAAATTAGTTTCAAGTTACTGTATGTAAATATACAGATTCAAATATAAAGTTTTTTGTTGTTTTTAATATATTTTATATGAATAAATATTTTGCCCTGTTGCTTTTCTTTGTTTAATTTGGAATGTTCAACATGCAAATACTATACGTAATCTATAATTCTATAATACGTATAGACCTGTATATAAGGGCCCTTGTTTTATCTTTGCTTGACCAATCCCCAAAAGCCTGATCCAGCCCTGCCCACATATAATGTGAAAGATATGCCATTTTTTAAATTGGAAAGTTACAATGTGTTAGTAGATGAATTTCCTAAAATACTTTAATAAGGGATAAAATATTAGAGATTTAATATACACCTTGAGAGCACTTTCAGAATATGTATCATTATCTTGTCACAGATGTATGCAAAATTAACCAAATTTACTGAGATTTGTTTCTAAATATCACAAAATTACTGTCTATAGTTAAAGAAAATAATTTATAATAAACAAACAGTTGTGCTTGTAAACTAAAAGTAAAACAGTAAAGAAGTTGACTAAAATTTATATATCTAGATAAAGCCTGCACACTCCTATTGAGAAAGAAAGACTTAGTAACCTGTGTAATTATACTTTTGATTCTAAAACATTACATGCAGTTTTGAAGGTAAGCAAGCAAATGACAATACACATTTATCTTGATTAGGCTTAGTTATAAGTTGATTTCCTTGACTACCATTGCTTTTCTGATTTCATCATCTCTCGACTTTGCCATACCTCAATTTCCTCTTAATTTTTGTTGTCCACACCTGTTTGACTATATCTTGTTTTATGTTATTATTGGTACATGTACTACATTTGAGTTAGAGGTGGTGGTGAAACTATTTAATAGTTACAGAGTGGAGGAAAGCATCAATACTGTAGTCCTAGCTCATTATCTCTTGTCCTTTGAGGTATTTGTATTTTTGGTACACTTGTAAAAAGAAGTCAATCACATATGCTCATTATTATATATGTTGTGGTAATACTTACGCGTCTTTGTGCATTTTTAAGGGATGCATGTGGGGAAGTTATTTTATCTGTGTATGTGTGGTTTTGTTGATGAGGTTCAGCTGAAGTTATTTTAACTGTGTATGTGTGGTTTTGTTGATGAGGTTCAGCTGATTTGGTAGTTAAATTAATTTTATTCCTGTCTTACTTCATTAGCTTTATTTATTTATGACAAAATAATATCATGTCTGTTGTCTGAATTTTTTTTCCAAAACATTCATAAGTGGGTAAAAATTTACTTGCACTCAGCATGAGCATTGAAAGTATATGAAAATAGACCCTCAAAAAAAAAAAGTTAATACTTAAAGTATTTGAAACTTAAAGGATATTTAAACTCTTCTACTGCTTATAATATGGCACAACAACAGTTGGTATTCCTATGGTATACATGCTTACAGAGAATTACTTAGCTTGTATACATCATTTGTTTTTAAATTAACTTGTTCAACAGGCTGTTGAATGGTGTAGAAACTAGCTGAGGTCCTTGGAATTAGATATTTATATGACGTATCTTTTCTGTAAAGCAAATCCACTTTTATCAGGTTATAAAGTGGACAGATCAGTCTTCTTTGTTAATTAATTCAGGACTGCAGTTCTACTTTATCTCAGTAGATTAGCTACATTTAGGTTAATGGCAGAAAAAGAAATTTGAATTATCAGTAAAAGTATATTCAAACTTAGGCCATGAAGTATTAATCCAAATTGAATATTTTTACCATTGTTATATTTACCAAGTTGAATGAGTTTTCAGTTTTGAATATCTTTCTAACAACACATTTAACCTTGCAATAATACAGAAATATCAGTAATAAAATGTTACATGAATTTCTAATAAAAGATGCTATGAAAACTTCAAAGAATCACCATGTCATCTTTAAAACGTAAATGGTTGTTAGGCTGTAATGTACAAACTGCCTGAACACTGTAGAACATTTTGGAACTGGATGAAACTCTTGGCAACCTAGTGAATTCAGTAGTGTTTCATATCTGTTGTTGAACTAATTCTGATCTATTGATTTTGTGAATAAGTATTGTTCTTTAAGCCACAAAAAAAAACCACACATTGCTTGGGAATGTAAATGCTTAAGCTTGGTTTCATGCATAGGAAGAATTTTTTTTTTAATTATGGAAAGGACTTGTCCTCCCAAAGACTTAATTTGACTCTGAGATTGAAGTTTTGTCAATAGTAGTAGCAGTGTTGTTTTTGTTAACTTTAAGTTTTATACATGTTATTGGTGGGTTATTCATTTGTCTCATCTTAAGTATTTTACTTTTTATAATTAAAAAAAACTAATGAATCTTAAGCCAGATGTGTAGTTACTGTTGAATGTGTCATGAAGTGAATGAAGTAGAAAGTCTTAAGCTTTCATTCAGAACTATAACAAAAATAAAAACACTTTGTAAATGATATAAAAAACAGCTTCAAATGGGTAACTGAAGATTAATTAACATTATTGTTTCACCTCTAAGTGAGATATAAGTGTTAACATAAACACTTAACATAAATAGTGTTAGTATCCCATAATGCTTTCAATGGTGAAATCATTCAATTAGTTTAAGTACAGGAATAATCTGATTATGCATTAATTGTAGGTTATATTTGTTTGAATGATAAAACATCATTTAATTTTTCTACAAATGCTTTGAATTCATCAACATTTTTCCGAAGTATCTTACTGAAAACCCATTAGAAGAAGAAAAATTTGTCATTGTATAATTCCAGTTGGTCAACAAAATTCTGAATAAACAACTACTACCATCAGTTATATTGTAGGAGTTATATCATGTATAGAAGAAACGTTAATTATCTTATCAAACTGTAGAATAACAACAGTTACAAACACAACCAAATTCATCGAAAAAACAATTGCTACCATCAGTTCTATTGTAGGAGTTATATCATGTATAGACGAAACGTTAATTATCTTATCAAACTGTAGAATAACATCAGTTACAAACACAACAAAATTCATCGAAAAAACAACTGCTACCATCAATTCTATTATAGGAGTTATATCATGTATAGAAGAAACGTTAATTATCTTATCAAACTGTAGAATAACAACAGTTACAAACACAACAAAATTCATCGAAAAAACTGGAAAAAAAATCGAAGCTTTTATAGATAAGCTTCATGACGACAAAGAATACACTAATGGATCAGTATTCCAAGTTCAGGTGTTAAC